AAAAAAAAAAAAAAAAAAAATTGGAATGGCACAAAGCAAAACTGAACTAAAATTGCACTTATTATGGATGAATTGAATCAAGAACAGTTGCCTGTGTGGAGGTGTAAATGAGTACGGAGTATGTAGGGAAAGAAGAGTTTGGTAGTCTTCCGCTATGATTTTGCCACGTGTAATCACGGCCTCTGGAAAAGTAGGTCCGGTCCAGTTGGCGAGATCACATAGGAACATGGGAAATTGACTGACAGTCAGTATTGGTCAACGGTGTAGTTTTCTAACACGTGTGCCTTAATGGCCAATTCTATATAGTTATTGGGACATAAATATCAAGAAAGTTGGTTACTCTTTACTACAAAATTGCAAGAAATCGTCCCTAAATTAATTAGTATAATTTGAAGAAGTTATAAGGGATTTGTTTGCGATCAATGGAGAATGATAAAGAAAGAGTTTTGAAAGGTATTTTTTAAATAAATTATTAATTAAAACGGTAAAACAATTACGTCTTATGTGAATTCGATACTTGTTTGATCTTAATAAAAGTTTTGATAACGATTTTAATTCGAGATTGATGAAGAATGATGATGAAAGAGCCTTGAGACGTCATCTCAAAATTAAATTGTTGTTGAAAAGAACAGAAAACTACAATCTCAAAAAAAATCAAGTCGAAAGTTACAAATAATATATGATTAATGATAAAATTAAAGTGAAACGCGTTACTCAACGGTAATTAACGTTGAATTCCTAAATAGATTCTCTCTACGTGTACGATTTGAAATGATTCATAAATATTAAGAAAGGTAATTAATGTGAACATTAGACATATCCTAATACATTTTAATCTACACATATTTTAAGCCCCCAGGGCATATCTCCCAGTGGCAAAGGGGAGGGCGGATAGGGCTCAGCGCGACAGTGTGCAGAGTTCGATTCCCCGCAAGGTGGAATTGGCTTTGTTGCAAGCGGGAGTTACCATATGGGTTAACAGCCTTGGTCTATGCATGTGCTCTCCACCCTGACTCCTGGGAGGCACATTCTGTGATTTACCTCCTCCACGATGGTTCAGGGCAGTGTCGGTGGAGGCTCTTAAGGTTGGGGTTCAACCTTTTTTTTTTTTTTAATCTACACATATTTTAGAATTATTAAAATTAAATACATCTTAAGTCATAACAGCAAGCTGTCACCACACCAAGGAGGTCGACATTGAACGATGGATCTTGTATCCTAGCTCTTAAACATTGATTAATTAATTATTTAATTAAACTTAGTATTAATCATTACTTTATATTACTAATTAATGGGACAGCTGGTTCTCTTAAAATTAAAAATATATTATTGATGGCCCGCTAGACTATGGGCGTGCTGGGTCAGTGTAAAACAAAAAAACAAAAAAAAAAAACAAAAACAAAAACAAAAAAAAATTTATAGAAGAAGAAAAAATCTTGATTGTTGTGAATACTTTTTTATGTTCATTGATTAAAACTTTAACTAAATTCTTTTAAAGCGTCTTCAATAATGGCGTAAAATTTGTATATTCGAAATCACTTTTGCATTATCGTTTATATCTCAATGGATTTAAATTCAAATTTTGCTGCAATGAGCATTTCTAAATCTACATTTTTCTTTTCTGTCGAAAAATGCAATTTACATTTTCTTTACGTCTCTTCATTGAAGAAATTTTCGACTACTTTGTAGATATAAATCACAGTTTAAATCTATTTTACACCACGATTGAAGATGCTTTTATATGCTAATATTTTATATGCATAATATCTATTTGAATTCTGAATCTCTACACCTATGTCAATCTAGTTTAATAGAGGCATGTCACGATATGCATGTCTATTTTGGTTCATACAAATTATAAAGGGGCTCTACACCACCATTGATGCGTATGGATGGTATGATGGATGTTGGATAAAGGGCTCGTGTGTGGCGGTCTAAGTGATGACAAAGATGAGGGGAGAGTGTTGTTGACGATGTTTGATCAATTACGTTTTTAGATGATATTTTTCTACATGTTATCAACCTTGTAAAGATGCTAAATTAAAATCTTCTTGTCATATATTTATAAAACTTGTTTATATGTCAGGCTTTTAATAGAAGAATAATTTTCATATAAATGGAGTGTTGAATAATTTTTATGTAAATGGAGTGTTGAAAACAAATTTAAAACCGATAAAATTCATGTTAAATTCTTAAGTTTTTCAACGGGTTAGTTCACTATGAAAGCATGCTTTGTAGTTGTGAGGAGGAAAACTGAAATTTTGTTGAAATATGAAAAAAAATAATAATAATAATAATAATAATAATAATAAATAAAAATTATTATTATTATTATACTTATGGCTAGCTTGTGTTGGGTGAACTTTAGATGGCATATAGAAGACGTGAATAAATAAATAAATAAATAAGGGCGAATAATATTCTTCAAAATCATTGAATTAGTACCATAAATGAAAATCCAAGAGAAAAAAAGAAGAAAAAGTTAGTTGAAAAAACTGTAAAAACTTGCGAAAGGCTAATATTTTTTAGTTTTTAGCATAAAGTTTTAATTTCTAACATACTTAACACATAAGTAAATTGTTTGAATTACTAACATAATTCATATAAAACAAAGCCAAATGGAGATCAAAAGACATTTTTATTTCAACATTTTTCATATGAAAAATTATCCTAATCAAACACAATAATTTACAATTCTCAGGAAAACAATTTCAAAGCAATTCAATTCCCTGGAATTCGTTTTCAATTCAATTCAATTATATCTTTGCAATCAAACGGACCCTAAGTAAATTGGTCTGATTTTGTTCATTCTACTTATATTTCATGCTCTTTTGTTGACTAAAACTAGAATATGATTAATCAAGCACAAAAATGTTATGAATTGATCGCAAGATAATGACAATAATGAAACAAATAAGAAACAATAAGAACACTAAGATTTATGTAGAAACTTGAGATGGAAAAAACCACAGACAGAGGAAGAGAATTTCACTATAATCAATAGTAATTACATTTAAAATAAGATTCCAATATTCTCGGTTAATATCTATAGCTCTCAAGATGATGTATGAATATTATGGCCTCAATACAAGTCATAAGTCCTAAAATTCAAATTGTAGATGAATAGAAGTTCAAAAAACGCGTTAAAATGCGAAATGGGCATGGACTGGATAACCCGCCTCTTAAGCTGCAAGTGAGTGCTAGGCAGGCGCCAAGTCTCTATTGAAAATCTGAAGGTGCTGCTCGAAAGCCAAGGTAGCGACAGCCTAGTGAAAATGAGGAAATTTTTCTCTCCGATCTATAATTTTATCTCTTTAAGACAACTTCAAGCAAAATTTCAATATCCACTAAATTTGAGTTACGAAAAAGATGAAAAAGGAATAGAAAGAAGTCTAGGTTAGGTGAATCAATTCATATTTACATTGGTGTACAATGATAGAGCCAAACTTATTTGTTTTGCCTAGTGGACCACCTTCCATTGGATTATATATAACTAAAATAAAAGATATGGGAATCTTTTTCTGGATATCTTGCTTAATTTTGTAATTCGTTTTTAAAATTAATATTATGTTTTTAATGGAAAACAATATGTTACATAATTAAAATATAATCAATGTTACAAAAAAATGCTCCTTGTCATCTAGCCACAATTTATTCCTTTTTACATCTAAGTCTAAACCAGTGAAAATTTTAAATTTGACATTGTCGTTCAATCATGCTTTATGCTTTTAAAACATCAAATATAATTAGTGGACGGTCGTATCATTTTAATTGATATCTACATTATTTCTGTCAATGTTATTATATATTTTTAATGACAATCATTGAGAATTATTATTATGATAATGTAAGTATGGATATTAATCATTAATAAATTATGAGGGGTACAAATAAAATATATCTTTACACCATTTTAAATCTAACACTTTCTACATTTTGTTCCTACTAGCATTTTGATATAATATATAATTTTTCCGCTGCATCGCGGAGCCGACAAGTAATTAGATATTTACTAAACTTGTTATAATAACAGAAATGACTAAAATATTGTTACTTCTCTTTCACTAAGGCATATGGAGAGTCGTACCCCGTTTTTTGCTAGGGGCTCCGTGGAAGGTCTTTCGTACAATCTTCAGTGAGTGATTGATGTAACAATTTATTGCTCCTGCCACCCCATCCAGCTAAATAGGTCAAGTTTAAGTCTTGTGTTAGATATTTTGGGTAACAAAAAAGTAATAACATTAAATGCTTATGTCTAATTGATACACACACTACAAGAAATATATACTTTCCCTACAAAAGTTCCACAGACAAATTAAAATTTGTGGCCGGAGTTCACTTTTCCCTACAAAAAGACATTTTGTAGGGCTATGATTTGATTCAAAATTTTTAATAGTGGAAGGACTTGTGCCCACAATTTTTTTTTTTCAGACAATAAAATTTGAAGGACAAGATACATCTTTAGCCTACAAAAAATTTGATCTGTTTGTAGGCTAATAATTAGTAGGAAAATTTTCCAATTTAAAATAGGCAAAATTTTTAAAACACAGAACACTGCTAGAAATAGTGGCATTAGAGACGGAATTTTAGTGATGAACAACTTCCATTGTTGTTAACGACAAATTAAAAATAAATTAGCAATGAATTATTATTTTATCATTATTAAAACATACATGTTAAATTATTGACAGAATTTCTAACAAAAATTTTCCCTTGATAAAATTTCGTTGCTATTCCGTTGGAAAAAATTAAAGAAAATATGTAAATAATAAATTAAGTATTTTACCAACAAATTTTCCAAAGATGATTCTGTTGGAATCTATATGAAATAATAAAATATATCAATTTTTATTCTTATTAGATTTCCTGCCTACTTATATTTTTGCTTCCAACTAAAAATTTCAATATTTGCTTGTAAAATATTCATTTTCCCTCTCTATCTAAGACATTCTTTGCCGTGCACATCATATTCAAGGTTGCCAAACCCTAACCTCATTTCCCATTTCTTCTCATATGTGTCGCCTCCCCCCATCTTCCTCTTTCTCTCCACAATTTCTCGTTCACGTCTTGGCCGCAATAAGAGGTTGGTTGTATGGCTTTTGGAGACTTGGCTGTGGTAGGGTGGGGATGCTTGGCCGCAGTTCTGGAGGTAGAGATGGAGGTGGGAACTTGGCTGTGGCGACGGAGGTTATTTTAACCCCGTCCTTGGAAATGTGGGAGGTAATTTCAAATGATTTTGGGTGTTTACATTGTGTTAAGTGGTTTTGAAGTAATTTCAATGTCATTTCTACTTTGCTTTTTCATGTTTGCTTGCTCACAATCTCAATAACTTTCGTTTTGCAATATTTTCACCAAAAATGCTCCTCTTGGCAGATGAACCGAACCATATCCTGTGGTGAAAGCTCCAAGGAGGGTTACTTTGATGCATTCTACAATTTAAGTATTATTTTTAAATGCTTTCAACATTCTAATTTCTTCATCACTAAACTTATGATTTTTAATTTTGAGACAAAATTTTACAGCATTAAAATCAAATAATGGATGAGGATCAACAATCCTGTACTAGAAAAGGACTTTTCTCCATACACTTCCATTATCCACCATTTTTTTTGGCTAAAACACATGCTTTTAGTTTTACTGAAACCCATAGCCCACCTTCGACTCTTTCCGATCAAATCTCCCATGTCATTGGATTATTAGTGATGAAGGAAACATTTTTACCTTAAGTTTTGGTTGTGGAAGTTTCAGTTTAGCTCCAAGAGTAGAAACAATTGTGTTTTTCCCAAAAACAAGGTTCACTATTATGCTATTTTACTCTTAATGCAGTGTTATTTTCTTCACTTTATTAAACGACCTATTCAAGAGATGTAGCTCTAATTAGATTTCCTTCTCAGTGGTTGTAACTAGGGAAGAAGGTGAACTTATGGTTGGAATTAAGGATGAAGGTAACACTTGTTATTTGGCTGTGTGACGTTGTTGTTTTTTTCTTTGCCATCGCATGTAGTTGATATTATTGGCCTTCAGTTTCATTTTTCAATTCTGCATATGTTGTTTAAATTTTGATAAGTAATGAATAATATACTTACGAGTCAGTGACTCCATAATAGCCTCCTACATCAACTGGTCATCATGTACATCTGGATGGGAACGATCCACAGGGTCTGGATGCTAACTCACATACCAATCCTTTTTCACTTTCAACCTAGGAATCTCTAGTTTAACTGACATCATGTACCCTGACGCCATATTTCCATAAATGCAATGAAATGAGTCAGATTTTTTTCTTTCCTTAAATAATGCTCCTAGAGAACATTTTGAATAAATAGTTCCGTTACCTGAAAAACAAGACTAGAATGAACAGTAGACTGATTAAAAGCAGGCCATCTTGATAAATTTATGTAACAACTTATAGAAATATCACCTCATCTAGATGATACCAGCCAAAAGAATCCCTAGTCTTCTATAGATTAAATCTTTTCTCCCTAATGTTCATTATGAAACAATGTGATTAACAAATTAGTCCTCCACTGTCAATAAGAAAAACTTAAACAAGTATTTACTTATCAAAGTTAATCTGGGAAATATTTCTCTATCCAAACTTCATTTCAACTCTACCAGCACCCTCTAGGACTTTCAAGTAATGCACAAAAGAGGGAACTACTACCTCAAGCTTTCCATCACTTGAGCATAAATAGGAAAGTTCTTAATCAGAATACATTGATGGAGTTAAATATAACAAAACAATAGCCATGATAAGTAAATACAACTATTGATCAACATTGTTATTAAAAGTTTACTTAGTATTCAACAGGTATTTTTCTCTTAACTGATTAAGTTTGACATTACATGAACCTTTGTCAATTGAGCCAAAGTCTAAATGTGGGGAATATCTTTGTTATCATGTGTAGTATTCTGGTTATCTTTATTTGTTTATCAAATGCACTTCAACTTGTTTATGTAGATGGTTAGATATTTGTTTCAAATGAAATACTAGATATCTAAACTCATTAGTATTGATGGCTAAGAGTCGAAGGCAAAGCAAGCTCATGTAAGAATTCAAGCACAAATAACCATTAAAAATGAACAACAATTTTTCGTGGAGGTTTTGACAGGGCCATTTGCATGTTAAAGCTAATTGTTATCTTTCACAACCCAGATAATGAACTAGGTATAATCTCTATTCATAACTTGTATCTCTCTTACTTTCAAACTTCAAGGTTCAAGCAACAAGCATATATGTGTGTATTCATTAATGTACTGCTATTTATAATGGAATTGCTCTTACGAAATGCACTTATTTTGGCTCATTGTCAAGCTTGTTTTTGGATGATAGGGGAAAGCCTCAGGATAGGATGCAAGGGATAAGGAGTATACAGCATTTTCTACTTTCTCATATCTAAGAACTCTTAGGTGTGCAAATTTTCACTTTCCTGGTTTTTGTTTTTAAATAGCTTTGTTTGCTGGGATCTATTTTGCTTAGCTGTATTGTTCCCATTTTCTTCTCTAACTCGTAAATTAAGCGATTTATTGTGTGTGATTTTCTAATTGTATATGTATGCCTTTGTACGTGTGGGACTTCTATTTGTCTTGTTCAAAATTCATAAGAAATACCATAAAGAATGGTACTATGTTCCTATAATTCAGATGACTGGAAAATGTTTTTTCCTAGGGTCATAGACTTAGAACTTGAAATGTGATCAGACCGTCTATGGTACAGCCTCATTAGTGAAAGCTAAATATACCCGAATTTTCTTAGGAAGATTTTATGATCTATCTTAGCATTATTACATGGGGTTAGTCTACTTAGCACAAGCTAGACATGCTATAACCAGTGATATCTTAAATGCTAAAGGTAATAAGTGGATTGTCAGGTTATTTTGCCTCACGAATATTATGCTTGGAGTTACATTAGTTTAAGAAGGGACTTAATCTTTCTGTTTAGCTTCTTAAGATTGTGTATTTGTTTCAAAGTACAGAGGCATTTTGTTTATGAAGGTACGTGGTTGATTATGGTGAAGTTCTGATCTTGGTAAACTATTATTCCAGCAATGTATGTCTATTTTAAGTTGTCGAACAAAATCTTGTGTACAACATAGAAAGATAAAGTTGGATTGAAGTAATTTAATCTTTGTTTCTTAAGTTCCCAGGAGCAGCCTTTGAATTGATAGCTATGACAATAATATCTTATAATGGCATGACATTTTCATTCTACATTTTAAATGTATTTTTTTGATCCCTCAACAACTCTTCAAGGTGGTGAAATAAAGAGTAATTAAAATAGTGTGAAAAAGCTGAGTCTTCTCTCTTATTATTTATATTTTGTTATAGAGTGTTAAGAAGACTTTCTTCTTATATAGGTTTATTGAAAAATCTAGCAAGACATTCTCGGTGAACTGGTCAAGAAACGGTTAGAAGGGCTATGTGTTATCTATTACTTAATCCACCTTAACAAGCACCATGATGATTTTATTGCTACAAGCTACATAACTCAAAAGTAGGCTTGCTAATGATCAACCCAGTACTGTATTTTCTTTGAATCACTAGTCATTTTTTTATTTACTCTTTTACTGGATGCCTGAATCGAAAATTACCTAGTCTGGATTTGGATGAACTATAAATTTTGTTGTATTTGTGTTCTGGTAAAATATTCTGGATTCAATATTACATTGATTGACACATGTTTAATTAATTTATAGTCTTTGGCATTTTTATATTATTTTGAATAAGATTAAAAAAATTATTACAATATATATGAAATAATTTAATTTCTCCCTACAAATTCTTTCAAAGTAACCTACAAATATTTTTTCCCCATAAAATTATTTGTAGATAGGGTTTAGCCCACAAAATCATATGTGCCATGTTGACATAAATATTCTTTTCCCACAAAATTTATTTGTAGGAAAGAACACAATTTAGCCTACATAATTTGTAGGGAAAAATGTAATTGTTTTGTGGGTAAAATTAACTTTAGCAGAAGAATGATTTTGTCGGGGGAAAACTTAGACGACGAATTGTGTTTGTCACCAAAGAATTCGTAGGGAAAAACTTTAGCCCACAAATTTTAAAAAAAATTGTCGTCTTATACCTTTCCCCTCTATTTTTGCCTCACAAATGTGCCTACAAAAATTTTTCGTCTGCAAAGATTTTTTCCTACAAATATGGAAAGCATAAATTTCTTGTAGTGATATAATAGGAGGTCACAATCGTCCGAATAAGGCCACGTATCTTTTCATCCAAAGATTATTATTCATCCCTTCCTACTATAATAACTCATACAATATGCCATTCCAATAATAATGCAAGTTTGCGCGGTCAACATATGACTTTTGATTTCTTTTCTCATGAATGTTTCTCACAAAGATGAACCTCTTTTATACATAAAAAGCTCTCGTCTAAAGCATTTCCCACACTCACATATCTATTACTTCATCTGATTTGATCGTGAAATGTGCGCAGCCTCTCCCACCATCGAACAATGTCACGTATGGTTAATGATTTTTTCTAGTGTGTAGGAATAGGTTTACGAGTTTTGCTACAAGTACATGTTTTTGCACAGGGAATTTTTCATAGACACAGGTGTCGAAACATCATTCAAAGATGGAAAAAAACATAAAATACAGACGGACATGATTTTTCCATTTCAAAATCTTTTATGAATTCTGTAATTTTTTCCTGTACTTAGGAAAAAATCCTAAATTTACGTGGATTTGAGAGGTTTTGAGATCTGTTAGCCACATTAAAGGTACAAAAAATGAGATCAACAAATATTATTCAATGAGATAATTGATATCAACCAAATTATTTACATGTTTGTTTTTCATATTTATTTAATCACTATATATAATTGTGAATCTGTATACAGATTTTTAAGAGTAGGCAATTTTAACAAGATTCAAGATTTTGCAATTTTAAGGAGAATCTTATTTTTTAAAACAGACTCAGGAAAAAAAAATAGGAGTTTGGGAAAAACCTTTGAGGGTTTCTTTGATATAATGATTTTTGAGAAAAATACAATTCTTGAAATAATTTTAAGGTTAAAACAATTTTTTCCTACATAAAATTACAATTTGTGAAGTGTGATCACATGTCGACTAGGTTTAATTACGTTGTAAATTATTATACCATAGATTTGCAATATTTTAAATTTGTGTTCGGCTTCATAGTCATTTTTTTCCCTACATTATATTTTGAATATTTGATACTAGAATTAAAAATTCTTGATCAATTTAATAAATAATTTAGTGAGGTTTATTTCTTATATTCAACTATTATCGATATTGGATTATTAGCATGTAAATAGCATAATTACTTCTATTATTTCCAAAACTTGACCCGTGAGTATGTGCATATAATCATATTGAAATTGAAAATATTCACCTATAATGTTTATTATCTGTTTAAAAGAGTACTTGAGTAATTTAATTCTTCTTACATTCGAATCCTCAATTTTCAATTGTTACAAGTTTCTTCCTTCCTTTCTTTCTTTCCTTTTTATTTCCCCCCTAGCGTGCCAAAATCATAATGGCTAAAAGAAGAAAATATAATTTTCCACTCACCATTCAAGGCAAGGTTATTCATTTTATTTATTTATTTATTTTGACTTATCTTTTGTTCTTTTGTCAACAATATTTTCCAATAGAAAGATCGATGTTTAAGTTTGACAATTTTTCGTAAGTGCAAAATTGTGATAAGAGAAAAATGAAATAATTAGTTCTATGTTGCAGTCCTATTAACATTGATCAAAATTGTAGGGGCACCAACAATTTTTTTATTATAGTTGTATATTTATTAATAATTAAATATTTAAAATATATATTAATTTTAAAATATAAATTTTTTATTATTATGCATAAGATATTAAAATTAAGAATAATGTGACTAACTAATTATAATTTCCATGAATTTAATATTCTTAAATAGTATTTCTACCTTAAATAAAGTGAGGGAAAAGGGAAAAGTCGAAAAAAGATCAAGCCAGCCAGAGAACTGAGAGAAGAAAGAAAAATTAAGCAACCACCTTTTCGAATCCTCTTTTTCAAGAAAAGAATTAAAAAAACCAATCGTCTTTTTTAATTTCTTCAAAGATAATTGAGGCAAAGAGGAGAGAAACCAATTTTTTTTTTTATATAGTAGATGAAAATGCTACTTTAAATGATGCACAATCACCTAAAGATTCTTTTAGAACCAATTATTCTTTTATATAGTAAATCAAGCAATTTGATCACTGGAACGAAAGTTTGATCAATTTAATTCATATGAAAAAAAAATTGGATTTCTATTTTCTTTTAACGAGTTAAACTCATTGGATGATGTTAATTTGAAAGTATGTTGCGATCATCTCGATATCGTTTTAAGACATGTAAATTTTTACAATCTTGATGGCGAAGATTTATTTTAAAAGTTAAAAGTTTTGCGTAATCTTTTACCAAAAGAAATAAAATCGGCTTTTAATATATTGACTTATTTGAAAAGATTGCATTGCTTTCCAAATACATGTATTGCTTATAGAATATTATTGATAATTCATGTTACTGTTGCATCTGCTCAAAAGAAGTTTTTTAAAATTGAAGTTATTAAAATCTTATTTGCAATCAATCATGTTATAAGAACGGTTGAATGGATTAACTTTGATATCTATGGATCAAGACTTTCTTGAAAATATTTATTACGAAAGTTTAATTAGTGAATTTGCTTCAAAAAATACGAGAATAAATATTTTTACATAATTTGTTACATTTCAAGTTTTACTCTTGATATATTTTTTTTTTCAAGGTTTGCTTACATGGAATTGCACGAAGAGGCTAGTTGCTTGGATGGTTCTTCGTTGATGACATATGAATTTTGATAAAGTTCTAGAGATGCTTTTGAGTTTTATTTATGTTTTTCTTGATCATGCATGTAAAAAAATAAATATTTAAATATCATATTTTTGTAATGAAATAATATTATTGAAATATTTTTTTTAATATATGTTTTAGTTTCTTGAAGGGGCACCATTTTACAATCTCACACTTCGTTGATGACATATGAATTTTGATAAAGTTCTAGAGATGCTTTTGAGTTTTATTTATGTTTTTCTTGATCATGCATGTAAAAAAACAAATATTTAAATATCATATTTTTGCAATGAAATAATATTATTGAAATATTTTTTTTAATATATGTTTTAATTTCTTGAAGGGGCACCATTTTACAATCTCACACAGGGCATACAAAATCTCAGGGCCGACTCTACTAATAGTGAATTTTAGTGAAAACGAAAGAGAAAGAGAAAAAATAAATATTCTACACAATGTTTCTCTTCTATGTATGTGATACCATTGTAAACAATTAAACTCTAATATCAAGATCTTTAAAATTCATGATTTTTACATATAAGCTAATTTATCAAGAAACATACCCTGATCCATAGCAATAATTGAGAAATTTAAATTTGCAAAAAAGAAACTGTTAAATTAAAGAACATGTTCTCTTCATTTTCCTCTCTATAATTGAATGAATTGATTGATGAGTTTCACTCATGTATATAGGCAGAAAGAGGCATTTTCTTATGGACCATCAAACTACCCACTTTTCCATCAAAGTGGACAATTATAAAATTGCCACTTCTCAAATGGGCCAATAGGCTTTTAGTAATATTAACCACTTTAAATTAATTCTTTAATATTACATGGGTCATGAAATTAATTGGTTTCACATTTTCCCACTTGACCCGTGTAATATCGCCTCGTTATGTGGTATTTAATATAATGCGCATATCATGAGCTAAAATCTATCATACATTGGTCACTTAATATATCATCATTAAGTAAAAACTAATAAGAGTCATGACGATTTTACACCATCATTTCTATATAATTCCTTCCATGTACTACAATATTAGTCCCTACCTAACATGACACATAATGAGAAGTTCGATAATTACATAATTTATTCACTTACATGTACCAATAGTTATGATAGGAATAATATTTTGTAAAAACAATACATAAATGAACTCAAAGTGTCAATACATAAATATCATAAATTACATAATAATGTTAATGATAATTTCCAACGATGCCCATTCTCTCGACATGTTCATTAAATGTCTTCGGTGGCAATCCTTTCGTTAGTGGATCTACAATCATAAGATTGGTGCTAATATGCTCAATTGAGATCCTCTGTTTTTGAACTTATTCTTTAACGACAAAGTACTTCAATTTCATGTGTTTAGCACTTTTAGAGTACTTGTCGTTCTTTGAAAAAAAGACTGCTGCAAAATTATCACAATAAAGTTTCAGCAGCCTAGCTATACTATTGACAATTTCAAGCCCTAAAATAAAGTTCTGCAATCAATTTCTTTGAACCGTGGCCTCAAAGCATACCACAAACTCAGTTCCCATAGTAGATGCAGCAATGACCGATTGTTTCACACTTTTCCATGATATAGCCCCTCCAGCCAAGAGAAATAGATAGCCAAATGTGGATTTTCTAGTATCGACACATCTAGTAAAGTCTGAATTTGAATACCCAATGACCTCCAAGTTATCAGATCTCCTATAAGTAAGCATGTGGTCTTTTGTTCCTCGCAAGTATCTTAACACTTTCTTTGTAGATTTCCAATGATCAAGTCCCGGGTTACTTTGATACCTACCTAGCATTCCGACAACAAAACTGATGTCTGACCCATTGC